AAAAAGATATTTAATTTAAACCACTTAACTATCCACCCTAAAATTAAAACAAACATCATTTTAATTCATTCAATTTTGATAACAAATCAACAACTTCCATAATAAGATATGAGTATGACATACCCAATTCTTTGAAGTATGATACTGCCACTAGGAGCAGGAAAGTTAATTTCAATTTCGTCTTCTGAATATTTTAGCCCATAAAAATGTTCCGAAGGATTTATCAATTTTAGATCACTAGGCAACTTCCTATTAAACATATCGAAAGTGTAGTAGACAAATAATAAAGCTTCGTTTATCGTCATATTGGCTATTACATATTGACCAAATGATCCCTTAGGATTATTTGCATCAATGATAGTGACACCTGGCTTACATACAACGACTCTAGAAATATCATCCCCATGATTAATATCAAATTTGGCCAATTCAGTAGAATCATTATCAAAGGCCCTAATGAAATACTCCTTAAGATTTTCTACATTAATATTTCCATTTATTTCTTCTAGTTTAAGTGTCGGCCATCTAGACAAATATCCCCTAAACACAAAACCTTCCATATTATTAAATGAAATACTTAACCAATAATCTTCTAAGTATATATTTTCACTTGTTTCTTGTTCAATGGTTGCACCAGGCAAAAATAACGCTTATTTAGACGAATACATTGTCGGATATTATAAACATGGTGAACCATTTGAAGGATATTTTAGAGATCAAAAAAATAGGCTAATAATCAATCAATATCTTAATGGGCAAATGATTACAACAAAGGATTACAGCATTGGCAATATCCCCAATTTTTATACGATTGAAAATGGAAAGCGAAATGGAATATCATTACAGCGAGTCTTAAGAGACACAACAAGGTTTAAAAGTGTTTACAAGGATGATTTACCTTACGAAGGCCAAATTTGTCTCAAAGATGAAATTCTCTCCTATAAAAAAGGGAAATTAGATGGTAAATGTATTTTGCTAAATGGGTCGGTTAGAAATGCAAAAAAAATTACCTATTATGTAGATGGCCACATAATGAAAGTAGTTAATTTTAAGGTATTTAATACCATTGATTCAATTGTTACCGACTATGTAAACGGAGTGATAATAGATGGTCAGGATATTCAGCATAGAGATTATACGACCAAAGTTTACAACTACAAAAATGGAAAAATTACAGGAGATAGTACAATATTTGAATCTGATACTAATTACTTGATTTATAAATCAGGGAAAAAATATGAAGGTATCGAACATACAAAAAATCAACAATATGGCGATACTACCAAGTTAGACCTTAGTACCAGATATAAAGACTTTAAAGTCGTAAACATACAAGGTGGAGCACACAAAGAATGGGCTCATTTTGAAATGAATTGCGATGACCAAAAATGTACTTTAATTGATTATTCGCCTTTCAAGTATAAAACAGAGATAGTCAATTTAAGCAATACTACAAAACAGGTAACAACTTATCAAAATGAAAATTTAAAAAGCAGTGGAGCATTAAAAAACAACTTACTAGATCAAGGTTCCTTTGTTTTTGTAAATTATGCAAGCAGGTTTGATAAAAGACTTGAAAATTGGACATCAATATTAATCGATTTCGACAAATCGTCTACTTACATCACTGTCTTTAGAGACAATCAGAGATATGCTGAGAAATATAAAATCAAGAAAAAATTGAATATTCATTATCCTGTTTATGAATTATACAAAGTATTACCTTTTAGATATGATTCTGACTACACGATTGAATATCTTGATAAAGATTCCGATAAGGTAATAGCTAGCTGTAAGTTTGTAAATGGTAGGCCTATGTTTGGAATTACTTTAGAAAGTTATGAAAGCATCATTACGATAAAAAAAATAAAGGATGGGTATGAAGAAGAGACATTAGAAACGCATGCCGCAGATCTGTTGAATAATTTGTCAAACTTTTGACTTTCAAGAAATGCAAATAACATCCAAACTCTCCTCTTCCCAAACCACCATCTTCACCGAGATGTCTGCCTTGGCGACGCAACATCAAGCGCTAAATCTTGGTCAGGGTTTCCCAGATTATGATCCACCTTCTGCTTTGTTGGATTTGGTCAAAGATACTATTGATGACCACAAACATCAGTACGCACCTATGGCAGGTGTCATGGCATTGAGAGATGTCATAGCGCAAAAAGTATTTCGTGCTTATGGTCAATATGTAAACCCAACTACCGAAATAACAATTACCGCAGGGGCTACCCAAGCCATTTTTACTGCCATCACAGCATTCATCTTTTCAGGTGATGAAGTCATCATCTTCGAACCAGCGTATGATAGCTATCGTCCATCGATCGAGTTGGCAGGTGGGAAGGTTGTGGTTTATGCCATGGAAGCACCCGATTTTAAGATCAATTGGTCTTTAGTGGCAGCGATGATCAGCCCAAAAACCAAGATGATCATCATCAATACGCCACACAATCCTACAGGAACGATATTGAAAGCGGATGATTTGCTACATTTAGCGCGCATCGTTAGAGATACCGATATCATCATCTTGAGCGATGAAGTCTATGAACATTTAGTGTACGATCGTCAGCCGCATGAAAGTGTACTGAAATATCCTGAATTGTATCAACGAAGTATTTCTGTGTTTTCATTTGGCAAAACGTATCATTGTACTGGTTGGAAAGTAGGCTATTGTGTAGCACCTGAGTACCTTATGAATGAAATCCGCAAAGTCCACCAATGGAATGTATTCAGTGTCAATTCTTTTGTGCAGTACGCTTTGGCCGTATTTATGAAAGATGAGCAGCAATATTTGTCTCTACCTCAATTTTA